GTAGTAGTAGTAGTAGTATAAGTATAGTAGTAGTAGTAGTAGTAGTAGTAGTAGTAGCAGTAGTAGCAGTAGCAGTAGCAGTAGCAGTAGCAGTAGCAGTAGCAGTAGCAGTAGCAGTAGTCGTCGTGGTAGTAGTAGTAGTAGTAGTAGTAGTAGTAGTAGTTGTGGTGGTGGTGGTGGTGGTAGTAGTGGTAGTAGGAGTTGTAGGTAGCAGAGCTGGCTAGGCTGTCGCGGGTGACGCCCTGCTAAAGGTTGGGTTTTTGATCTAGGGCAAGCAAGGACCCGGGCGGCTGCTTAGCATGCATAGCAGGAAAAGGCAAGACTCTGAAGCTAAGACTAGAATCAAGCAGACATCGAACAAAGAACGAAACGCCTGAATGCCTAGACCCTAAAGAACCACAACCCTAAATCCCGTATACTAGACACTAAATCCTAAACCGCAGTAGCTTCTTTGGCCGTCACTGTTCCATGTCTTCGGAAGGCAGCGCAATGAAGAGCACCTGCCCACTCCGCGGTGATAATATAGGTGCCTTAAGAATTAGAACTCGGTTTCTTCGAAACTTCCTTTAAAGGATCTGTAGGGGTCCTATGTGGTCCTTAAAAGAGCTACATCGCTTAGATGTAAGGGGCACCTCAATGGTTGGAACAGGGTTTTAAGGTATGTTTTACCATACTCACATCATGCACTATTTAGGCAATACTATCAGCACTGATTCCGACCTCGGTGTTAGGCTAGCATGTAGGGAGAGCTGCAGGCCTTTGGGGGTCTGGCTATTGCTGCTGTTGCCGTCGGCAAGATCATGATTTTGGGGTACCGACGCTGTTTGTCCTCAGGGTTATACTGGGCTCAATTCGTTGTGATGTCAGTGTAGCTCCTCTTACCCCTCAGGGCTAAAGCCAAAACCCCAAGCCTGTTAAGCTCAAAACCCCCTGCAGCTGTAATGCCCCAACCTTTATTGGACCTTAACCCTAATCCCTAAAACCCTCAGCCCTTAACCCTAATCCCTAACACCCTCAACCCTTAACCCTAATCCCTAAAACCCTCAGGCACTATAACTGTGGCTCAGATTGATGGCCCTAAACCCTAAACCCTAAACCCTAAACCCGTCCTGCAGCGAGCGCTCGACCAAAGCCGCGAAGAGCTCGGATGGCAGCTCCAAGGGAAGCGCCGTCAGCGAGCCTCAGGCTTCGGGGTTCCTTTAAAGGGTTCCTTAAAGGGATCTAAAAGGGCTACCATAAGGGTTTAGGGTTTAGGGGCCTTAACAATTAGAATAGGGTCTTTGGGGCATATTTATTATACTAAAAATATAATAAGGAGCCCCCAAAATAGTATAGGTAGTTTATTTAGGCCACCATATTATGTCGGGTTTAGGGGTTAGGACCTTCAGGGCGTAGGCTTCAGGGTTTGGGGATTTGGTTTTTAGGGTTTCGGCTTTCAGCTTCAGGGCTTCGGGAGTTAATGTAGGGGCCTTAATAATTACAACAGAGTTTTGGGGACTCCTTGCTATAATTATAGTAGAATATAACCACCAAACCCTATTCTAAGTATTAAGGCCCCTATATTAGGGGATCAGTGCTTGCAGATTTAGAGGTTCCGGGAGGTGCGGTTTAGGGGTTGAGGGGTTTAAAATCCGGGGTCATCTAGAGTCTTTAAGTAGAAGGCCCAGCTCGTGCCCAAAGTTCTTCAGCAACAAGGACGGACAGTGCAACTTCAGCTCTGACTCTTCAACTTGTCACTGTTGCCTTGCTGGGATGCATACTGATGGCATGCAGGCCAGGACAAAGCCTCGGAGACAGGGCGCGGCAGACCACACTTTTGTTCATTGAGCCGGGTCGTCTGTCTAAGCTTACCCATCCGTTGAAGCAATATCTCATCGCCGACATCTTTGGAGCGTGCTGCAAACCGGAACGACTCGCTGGTTGGGCGTGGCCCTGCCGCTTGTACAACGGGAGGTCCACACACTTCGGAGAGGCAGCACTTAACCTAAACATTTAAAAACAAAGTAGAGCACTACCAGTTTGTGGGGGTCCCACTGTTGAGACAGGGACCCGAGAGCAGAAATGATGGTGATGATACTAGTGAATACTAGTACAGCTACCAGCTTCTCATCGTCATCGCCACGCCAGCATGACACTCCGACCCTCCTGCGTGAGAGTCCTGCCCTTTCACGTGCGGCAGGCAAAAGAACGATCTTTTCTTTGCTGCACTGCTGGTCGTCTGAGAACGCAAACATCGGCCAAACGCATTTCCATGGGCGAAGAGGTCATGAGCTACTCCATCTGCCTGAGCTCGGTGAAAATGCAGTGTTTCTATGCTATCCTTACACCTATATCTAGGATCCGAACTCCTGGCCCATGAAAGCAGCCCTTGTGGCCCAATGAAAGGAAATGCGGAAATCTGGCACATGGAGGTTTCGAAAAGAGAGATTCCGTCAAGCGGGTAATCATCATACTGCAGGCATCCTGCATTCACCTTATCATGCACGGTCCGCGCAGATCCTGAACTGATGCTTCCCCCAAATGACATCTTCGAACTTGTGGGAAGGAATTGCTACCGCCCCCTGCATGTGCCCTTCCCTCGGGCAGCGGTGAGCGATTGGCCGTCGGGCAGCGGCATGCAGCCTCCGGCTCGGATATCGGATATAGTTTGGGCAGGGCAAAGTGAAGACTCAACGGTCTGTTCATGTCTTCATGAAGGCATGGAGGTTGGGGCATCTCTCGAAGCTTCAGGGATTACTGTGCTGATTCAACTGCCTAAATCTCATGCATTACCATCCTCGTCACAACCGCCGTCGTCACCATCATCATCATTATCATCACCATCACCACCACCACCACCATCATCACCATCATCACCACCACCGCCATCACCATCGTCATTATCATCATCATCACTAATAACACTATCATCAACATCAGCATCAGCATCAGCAGTAGCATCATTATCGTCAACATCATCACCATCGCCATCATCACCACCATACCAAGACTACGACCATAATGATTGCCATTGTCAGTGTCATCACCATCATCGTCATCACCATCAACATCCTGTTTCCTGCCGTGCTTGGGAAGCTCAGCTTAGGTTTGGTGGCATCGCATCTGCCAGCTGTAAGCTCGAAAGCAACGGCACATGACAGAAAGCAACTATGCTAGGGGCCTCTTGAATAATTCGAATGGGGTTTGGGAGTACTTTACAGTAAACACCGGGAGTACAACGGGATATTGATACTATTCTGACCCCATGTAGTAATCTCACAACAATCTTCTAACCCGTGGCAAAACTGCAAGCGACAGAGCTAAAATGGATGTTAAGGCAAGGTTTGAACCAGGTGTCCAGCAGAAAAAGCCATGTGTCAATGCAAGAAGACTACACTACAGAACACTACGCTGAGGCGTTTAGGTTTACAGGATTTGTGCAATCCCAACCCATTGCTCGGACCATGGCTTCCGTTTCCATGTTGTCAGCAACATTCAACATGTGAGTTCTTGAGGCACCGGTATGCGCCATGTGCTCAACTTACATTGCTGTCACGCCAACACAAGCTCCTGCGGTTTCGGGTTTCGGATTCCACGACTCGTCGTCAATGGCCCAAAGATACTATCGAAAGGGTTGGCAATTTCCATGCGCAGCATCTGTCAACTGGCATCGAGGGAACACAGCTTAGTCATACAAACTATGCTCCACCATCCAAAGTCTATTATATTTGGCACATTCCATATCCGATCAGCATAGGGCACACACCGGAGCGTTGAGAGGTCGTGCAGAAACTCTCATGCTTCTTGATGTTTACCAGTGCCTGCTACAGTCTTTGCAGTGTACGTGTAAGGCTACCCTGCCCTACAACTGCCGGGAGGTGAGCAACCCAATGGTGCCAAAGTTACCAAAGCTTCTCACGTTGATTTTGTCCAATCGCCAGCCCCTCCGCCGTGATGTGCTCTTCACACTTACGGCTTCGGTGGTGATAGTCTCTTACAGGCATACGTAGAACGTCTCACAACCGTTGACTCTTGCATATTGTTTTGGCTGAGAGAGAAACTGGCCAGGAGATCAGATCAGACGGACCTGTGCCGGTCTGCAAATTACGAAATGCGAAGATTCCTGAACAGGAGTATGCTTTGCTTACTACAAGACTGTGCATGCAGGGATATTGTCAGCAGGCGTCCGGTCAGGTTGTAACCGGAGCATATTGTCTGGAAATCGTTGTTCAAAACGACGGTTCCGTCAGTTCCGTCAAGAACGCAGGGAGTGTCCAGCGTCACATTGTAGCCACCTTCCAAAGTGTAGGTCTGAGAAAGGCCTTCCTGACCAACAAAGCTCATAAGTGGCAACTCATCAAAAGTCGTCGTCGTGTCCGTAAACCAGGTGAAGTTGAAGTAGTCAGACTCTACGCCAGACGTTGTAAACGTACCCCAAGTGGCCACGTCCAAACAGACTCGAGAGAAGGTGGTGCCAGTCACCTCGAAGTTCCATTCGGCACGGAAACCATCCAGAGACTCTCGGGGGCAGGTGCCAACGATGCCGAAGAAGGGCGCTTCATCCTCCTCACGAATGATCCCCACTGTGTCATTCACATTGCACCTCAGAGAGTCGTCCAGAACATTCTCGGGAAGTCCGCGTCCCTGGTAGTTGCTTGTGTCGCAACCTGTGTCAGGGTCACTGACCCGAGCTCCAATCCCGAACATGGAAGAACGACTCGAAAAAAACACATCGTCCTGGGATCCGAAGTTCAAGAACTGGAAGCCTGCGGGCATGGCTGTGATGAGAGCTGCCACCGCATCTGGTGGAAGTAACGTGGTTGTCGTGCTTGTCGCAGTACTTGCCGTAGTTGAAACTGAAGTGCTAGTCGTCTCTGAAGCGGTTGAGGTCGAAGGACCTATCGGACTCGACGTGGTCGAGGCGGAGTAGGGAGAGTATTGTCTGTACCACCTTTTGGCCCATCTGCGACGTCGCTTCCACCGCAGTCTTCGACCTTGGAGGAGTGCTTCTAAGTCGCCATGCTCTTGTCCCTGTGCCACATTCACTGTCCGACAGCTTTGCTCCGAGGCTTGCCCGATCCTGCTGATGCAGCAGAAGCAGGAGACAAGGGCTATGGCACCAAACCCCACCATCCTTGATCTCCGCTCAATGCGAGCTGAGTATCCACGGCTCTGGGAGTGGCTCGACACCTTCACTTGGCTTGTTGAGCCCCGAACCCTAAGTCCCTTTGTAGTCCTAACCCTCAAACCCGCAAAACTGTTTTGGACCTTCCACATATATATATATATATATTCTAGGTATATATACTTCTATAGTTATATATATATATATACATACAGATGTACGTGTATGTATATATGTATATATGTATATATATATATATATGTATGCATACACGTGTTTAATGATCTAGTGGCTTTGGCATCCTGGAGGCCCGTGGCTTCAGTTTCGTCCCGTTGCTCTTGTCTGGTAGTGTTCAATGCGAAACGAAGTTTGGATGCGACATAACATACTATAACAGACTACGATATGTAAGATGCTACAGCATCACTTTAACTTATGTGTGTGTATAATATATATATATATATATATATATATATATATATATTGTATGTTTATACATACAATACCATATCGTGTAATACCGCATAAACTCTAGGATGCAGCAGAAGTCGTTCTCAACAGGCCCTGCGCACGAAATCGGAACCCTCAACCCCTGAAGCCCGTCATTCGGTCCCAATATCCCCAATTAAGCTCCGCTGTCAAAGAGTCAAACCCTCAACCCGAAACCCCACCAGCACCCCCTCAAGTACCCTTTCATAGAGGCCTCATGGTCCTTAACAGTGGATACTTACAGTAGAAGCCAGAAAGTTGGAACATCATTATCCTCATGCCCTTCAGGTAAAGTAAAGGGAATCCCAGCATTGATCATCCCATTTCCATGTTCCAACTTTCAGGAATTCACTATAGGCTCTAACAAGGGGTATGTTGGGGGGGGGGGGGTGCTGGGAGTAGGCCCTACTGTCGGGGCCTTAATAATTAGAATAGGGTTTGGGGCCCGTTATACTCTACTTAAAAAAAAGGAACCCCCAAAATAGTATAGGTAATTATTAGGGCCCCTACATTAAACCCTGAAGGAACCTTCTCAAACTTAAGGGCGAACCCTGGCCTGGCATGGCGTTCGGAGGCCAAGCTTTCGAGAAGCCATGCGGTGTTGAAGGGATGCTTCTATGGGGTTCGATTCATTTTTTTTGGCTGCTCTGGTTTAGCGGTTCGGATTTAGGGCTTGTGGGTGTATAGGATGCTGCTATTGTCCATAGTTCAACTGGTACTACGATGATGGCTACCGTCAGCAGTGTGTCACGAGAACTCATTCAAGTCTTTTGCAGTTTCTGAGCAACGGCACGTGCTTGATGCAAGAACTGGTGCCAAAAACGCTGCTGTCTAGCCGTGATACGAGCAACTGGCATATGACGAACGGCAAGCAAAGACCGTGTATCAGAGGAACATGCATTCTGGAACAGGCTCCACTTACGGTGCTCTGGCGGTTCGAGCCTGTATCGTTGCCCCGAAAACCCTGGCCCTAACCCCCCCAAACCCTACACCCCAACACCCCAAACTCTAAAGCGTAAGTTCGATCGCCCTGTGCTGGAGGATGGCTCCCCCAAACCCCCAAAACAGGTACTGAACCCTGAACCCTAAAAAGAGGCCCTAAGCCCGAAAAGAAGCCCTATAAAGCCTCTAAACCGCTTAGGGTAACCTTCAAAACAGGTTTAGGCTTTCGGTCTTTAGGGTGGTTTCGAAGCATCTGAGCACATCGCAGCTCCTCGAAAGCTGCCATCCTCTCATCGTCCTGCACGCTTGGGCTACGCCGGCTAGGGTTTGGGGTTTAGGGTTTAAGGGGGAATGCTTCGAATTGGGCGCGGAGTCCTTGCGATACTGGTCCTACTATTCGATAGGTCTAGAGATGTCTAGAGTATAGGCTCTGTCTTTTCAGGGCTTGATGGACTCAATTAAACTGACATGCCCTCGTCTGTGCAGGAAGTGTGAAGTTGGGATATTTTCTGGGCAATTTCTAGCTCGACTCTGCGATCCAACTACAACTACCGCTCCAGATACTCCCGGAGCAAGTTGCGAGGACAAAGAGTCCTAAAGTTTCTACAGCCATGCTCCCAAGCTAAAACCGGCCGCGGCAAACCCTACTGTCCTACAGTAAACCCCTAAAGCTTGAAACCGAACCTGGCCGAAAGTTGACTTGTCGACACAAACCTCAGGGCGCCTTAGCTACAGCTCTTGCAGGGATACCGCTGTCAAGAAGGCTTTTACTCAAAAGGCTTTGGCTTTCGGTGGTATCTGACTGCAAGCGTGTAGAAGCCTGAATACAGTAATCACCGACACTCTTCCCGAGGGTTCCCTACTATGAATATACTACCATGTACCCCGCAACCCATTGAACAACTATTCGTGCCCCTACATTCAGCCCTTCTAGCAAGCCTCATAGCAACTCGTGTATATCTCCTGTAGACCCCGTTAAGAAACCGTTCAAGGAACCTTTCAAGGGAGCTCAACTGTTAGCTATTACTTGAAGGCGTTGGCAAGCCCTTGGAAAGCTTAAGGCTATGTTTTTGTCAACAAAGGGTGTCACAGTTTTGACATCGAGATGGATTTTGAGCCAGATTCAAGACAAGACCCACCAAGCAGTGAGACCATGCCAGCGAGACGTTGGTTTGCAAAGCACGCCTGCTCATGCTTGCCAAGGCACGGTCCCGGCCATTCCCAACGCTCGACCAGTTACGACCAATCTAGAGCCCGACCAGTTGCCGACCATTCCGTGCCGACCAGTTTGACCCGTCCGTCCTGACTAGTTCCACCAGCCCCACCGTCTCGACCAGTCCCGACCAATCCCGAGTCCCCCAAGCAGTCCCGAGCAGTCTGATCGGAACGGTCAGATCTGGTCGGGACTGGTCGGAACTGGTCCGAGAATGGTCGGGTTGTTGGGGCTTTTCGGACCATGCGGTGCCATCCAATAACCCGGCCGCATCACCCAGATGACTTTCCGACATTTCTGCCCCACCCAAAGACACAGCCGCACCACCTTTTCCAGTTACGCCGCCTGCATGACATCCCAGAACGCGGCCGAACCACCGAACCAGCACAGCTTCACCGTCACCACAATCATGAAAACTCAAACAGGCTATAACGCTCAAAATTCTCTCGCTTTCAGATAACATCTGCACGGGGCTTGCCATATCAAGCATGCACCAACTTATCCTTCGTACCAACAACAAGCCCGCACCACCTGTTCAGGCTACCCACCACGTGCCTGGAACGGGCAACCCCGGAGTCTGAAGTCGCGCGGGGCTGGCCAAGCTATAAGTAAGGTTGAAGTAGGATAACCCTACTTAGGGCTCCTATAACCCCAGTTATTATTATCATTATTAGTACTATTATTAGGGCTCCTATAACCCCAGTTACTATTATCATTATTAATATTATTATTATTATCATTATTAGTACTATAATAATAATAATTATTATTATTATTATCATTATTAGTACTATTATTATTAGTATAACCCCACTTACTAAGTCCCTTAAGGAGCCCTTAAGTGAAGCCCCGATATGACCCAACCGGCCCTGAACTCGCCCAACCCCGACTCCCTCCTGCTCCTTGGGCACATCAATCAACGGCAAGAGAACCTACAAAGGCAAGGGTTTAGGGTTTAGGGTTTAGGGTTTAGGGTTTAGGGTTTAGGGAATCCCTCATACCCGAAACCCCTAATTAAACCCTAAACTGTTTTAAGCCCTAAACCTCTAAACCCTTACGCCACACCCTAAACCCCTAAACCCTGAACCCAAAGCCATGCGAGACCCTGGACTTTGTTTAGAAGCTTGAAGGTCCGTGAGTGATGAGTTCTAACTGCACGAAAGACCCTACGGCCCTAGGGCTTGGAGGTGGGGTATATTACGAGTTACTGGTTCCAAGACAAGTGTCTCAAGAATCCCTTGCGGAATAATGCTTGCAATCATACAGGCCTCTATATTCTTCGAGGTAGCATTTCAAAGACCCGGGCTCAGAGGTGTTCTCTCTGAGTGTCGGATATACTTATCCAGATTGGAACCTTCGTCATCAACAGAGGAACTTCGACCTTTCGGGGCAGGCTGCAAGAGAAATGGAGATCTTGCAAGAATTCTAACAAAGCCAGGGTCGAGCGGGGGAAGTGGCATCCCGATACCAAGTGCTCCACATTGTCTGCTTCGGGGCTTGTAAGGTCTATGGCATGGGGTTTAGGTACGTCTAGCAGCAGTGAGAATGGTTTCGACACGAACAGGCCGACTGTCAGCCTCGATCAACTCATTGCGCTGGTTGGCGAGTGCCTCAGAAAGAGACTGAGGTCCTAGAAATAAGACAATCGCACCAGTGCCATCTACATCTATCCGAGATGGGTACCTCATGAGTCGGAATGGGTCAACCTTATAGTCACCCTTCCAGGAGCCAATATAGCAACCCCTGAAGGGCCCGCTGAAAAGCTCTACTGCAGAAGCCTTAGTAATTAGAATAGGGTTTTGGGGTATATTATACTATAGTTACAAGAATAAGGAACCCCCCCAAAATAGTATAGGTAGTTGTTACCCTAAACCCTAAACCCTATAAGGCCCCTATATTACACCGACCGGGGCTCCAGCTTGACGAGTCGGGCTGTCCTCGCCCAGCGCTGCAATCGGCGAATGCTCCGGCGGCACCTCTGGGGTTGAACGTAGCCTAGTCTGGGAGTTTCCGAAAATATGGGGACTCTAATTTTGGGGTCCTTATAATCAGGATCCTACTATTTGGGGTACTAGATTAGGGTCCCCTATTTTCGGAAACCCCCATATGGAGTGTACCCTAAAACCCCAAACGCAAACCCCTAAACCATGTAGGGCTTTACGCCTAGTTGTCCGTAATATAGGGGCCTAAATAATTA